GTGTAGTAGTGATACCAGGTACTGTTCAGTACATAGTGAATGTCATAAAAGGGGCTTTTAGGTTCTATTTCACGGTTAACAGTGGCTGCAAGGGGCAATAGTCACCGCACCAATGGTCAAGTTCAAGCTCATAGTGAGCTTGCGGGCTCAAACGAAACTTCAACTTCTGCAAAACTCCATTACGGGTTGGTATCAATCTAACCAACCCCAGGAACATTCTATCACAAAGCCTCAGTCCGCAATGAAATATAAGACCTTGACCTTGCAGAAAAATCTAGAACTCCATCCATAGTTGAGGTAAATGGGAGAAGGTACATGGGATCAACTCTAAGTCCCTTATTCTATTGTAAAAAGAAGATATCTTTTGGGATCAAAAGTCAAATGGCTTCTAGTTGGCGACAAAAAAAAAAATTGAATGTTTCACAAAATAGCAAGCTGTGGCTGTTGTGTTAATATTATCATGCACATCTCTATGGGGCAAAATGCCTTTCAAGAACCAAACTCAGTTGCCTCTGTATCTCTTTCTTTCAGCAACTTTGCTAACCTCGATTTGATACCATTGTTAGTCCCAATAAATAAATAAATAAAATTGAAAAAAAAAAACTTACTCGGATCTATCCTTAAATCACACGAGGGACTTGAGGATCCATACCAAATCCTATAGACCAAGCCATGCGGTGACAGGCAACCTTGAGAGTCATCTTTGATGAATCTCATTCACCTTCCATCTCTATTTTTCTATAATTTTTTCTATCTTTTCTAGAGGGGTTAACCTCCTTTTATAGAGAACAAATATATTTTGTAACTCTCACATTCATGGTCTATAGGAGTTGTGATCCAAGGGTAACTCCTGCCTTAATTCCCTTAAGCGCAGCTAATTAGGATTAACAAGTTGTCACCAAACTATTAATCCTATGTAATGAGCTAAACCTGTCATTAGTCCACTAATGACTCACATAATAGGATGTCATCCAAGCATTCACACAATTTGATAAAAGATATTTATAAATTAAATAAATTTGTATATCTATAATATAAAACAAATTCTTACAAGGAATCCAATTCCACCACTGGTTTTCCCTCCAGCGACACTGAGTTTTCCCTCCAGTTCAACATCTTATTAAAACTCAAAAATGGATCCAAGTATATGGCATTGCCTCAGGTTAACCACATGGGATTTCACATATACTTCAATATGGCTTTTGTACCATTATTGAAAACAAATAAATTTCCAAGAGAAAAGGGCCTGATAGGCCACATTTCCAACAACTCCCACTTGGCCTGAAGGCTTTTGGGCATCTTGTACATGACATTGCCTCATGTTTTTCACATGAGATTTTCATATACCCAGCTAGTGTCGTCAAACACCACACTGAGAGTTCCTGGCCTCCATAGCCATAAATATGGCATTGCCCCATGCAACTTGCATAGAATCTCACATATGCCTTGCCAAAGTAGTCATACACCACACTTAGATTTCTTGGCCTCAACAACCTTGTATATGGGATTGCTTCATGCTACTTGCATGGGATTTCACATATACCCTGCCAAAGTGGTCATACAACACACTTGGATTTCCTGACCTCAACAACTTTGTATATGGCATTGCCTCATGCTACTTTCATGGGATTTCACATATACCCTGCCAAAGTGGTCATACACCACATTTGAATTTCCTGGCCTCAACAACATTGTAAATGGCATTGCCTCATGCTATTTGCATGGGATTTCACATATACCCTACCAATGTGGTCATACACTACACTTAGATTCCTGACCTCAACAACCGTGTATATAGCATTGCCTCACGCTACTTGCATGAGATTTCACATATACCATGCCAAAGTGATCATGCACCACACTTGGATTTCATGGCCTCAACAACCTTGTTTATGGCATTGCCACATGCTACTTACATGGGATTTCACATATACCCTACCAAAGTGGTCATACACCACACATGGATTTCTTGGCCTCAACAACATTGTATATGACATTGTCTCATGCTACTTACATGGGATTTCACATATACCCTGCCAATGTGGTCATACACCACATTTGGATTTCTTGGCCTCAATGGTTTTGTATATGGTACTGCCTCATGCTACCTGGGGAAGAGGACTCCAACCTCCACCACCTAAAGCTTTGTCAAATTATTATTGTTCTTATTATTTTGACCTATGATCCGAATCTGTGCTTTGGACTTAAAGACCAGTGGTGGATGACAAGTTTGAGAAACGTGCGTAAGCAATGGGCCTTTTTTTTCTATTGGCTAAAAGATAGATGTAAATAAAATCCTACGTGTTGATGAATAATTGGTAAAGTATATGAGAAATCCCATGCAGCTAGCATGAGGCAATGCCATGTACAAAACCATTGAGGCCAAGAAATCCAAATGTGGTGTATGACCACATTGGTAGGGTATATGTGAAATCCCATGTAAGTAGCATGAGGCAATATACAAGGTTGTTGAGGCCAGAAAATCCAAGTGTTGTGTATGGCCACTTTAGCAGGGTATATGTGAATCCCATGTAAGTAGCATGCGGCAATGCCATAAACAAGATTGTTGAGGCCAGGAATTTCAAGTGTGGTGTATGACCACTTTGGCAAGGTATATGTGAAATCCCATGCAAGTAGCGTGAAGCAATGTCATATACAAGGTTGTTGAGGCCAGAAAATCTAAATGTGGTGTATGACCACATTGGCAAGGTATATGTGAAATCCCATGCAAGTAGCATGAGGCAATGTCATTTACAAGGTTGTTGAGGCCATGAAATTCAAATATGGTATATGACCACTTTGGCAGGATATATGTGAAATTCCATGCAAAGAGCATAAGGCAATGCCATATACAAGGTTGTTGAGGCTAGAAAATCCAAGTGTGGTGGAATATGTGAAATCCCATGCAAGTAGCGTGAGGCAATGCCATATACAAGGTTGTTGAGGCTAGGAAATCTAAATGAAATTGGTATGGCTAGTAAAGATTTTGGGAGTTTTACAGAGAGAAAATCAGGTGTAGTAGCGAAACTAGGTACTGTTCAAGACATAGTGAATGTCATAAAAGGGGCTCTTAGGTTCTAGTTCACGATTAACAATGAATGTCATACAAGGGGCTTTTAGGTTCTAGTACACGGTTAACAGTGGCTGCAAAAGGCAATAGTCACTGCACCAATGATCAGGCTCAAGCTCATAGTGAGCTTGAGGGCTCAAAGGAAACTTCAACTTTTACAAAACTCTCCATTAAGGGTTAGTCTCAATCTAACCAACCCCAAGAACATTCTCTCTCAAAGCCTTAGTCCTCAATGAAATATAAGACACTTGCAGAAAAATCTAGAACTCCATCCATAGTTGAGGTAAATGAGAGAAGGAAAGTCAATCCCTTATTCTACTATAAAAAGAAGAGATCTTTTGGGATCAAAAGTCAAATGGCTTCTAGTTGGCAACAAAAAAAAAATTGAATGTTGCACAAAATAGCAAGTTGTGGATGATCTTTTGGGATCAAAAGTCAAATGGCTTCTAGTTGGCAACAAAAAAAAAATTGAATGTTGCACAAAATAGCAAGTTGTGGATGTTGTGTTAATATTATCATGCACATCTCTATGGGGCAAAATACCTTTCAAGAACCAAACTCAGTTGCCTCTATATCTCTTTCTTTCAGCAACTTTTCTAACCTCACTCTGATACCATTGTTAGTCCCAATAAAAATAATAATAAATAAATAAAATTGAAAAAAAAAACTTACTCGGATCTATCATTAAATCACACAAGGGACTTGAGGTTCCATACCAAATCCTATAGACCATACCATATGGTGACATGCAACCTTGAGAGTCATCTTTGATGAATCTCATTCACCTTCCATCTCTATTTTTCTATGTTGTTTTCTATCTTTTCTAAAGGGGTTAAGTTCCTTTTATAGATAACACATCTATTTTGTAACTCCTGCCTTAATTCCCTTAAGTGCAGCTAATTAGGATTAACAAGTTATCACCAAACTGTTAATCCTATGCATTAAACTAAACCTGTCATTAGTCCACTAATGACTCACATAATAGGATGTCATCCAAGCAATCCCACAATTTGATAAAAGATATTTATAAATTAAATAAACTTTGTATATCTATAATGTAAAAACAAATTCTTACAAGGAATCCAATTCCAAACACACCACTGGTTTTCCCTCCAGTGCAACATCCTATTAAAGCTCAAAAATGGATCCCAGTATATGGCATTGCCTCATGTTAACCACATGGGATTTCACATATAATTCAATATGGCTTTTATACCATTATTGAAAGAAAATAAATTTCCGGGAGAAAAGGGCTTGATAGGCCACATTTCCAACATAAGCTCCATACTACAAGTGAAGTACGTAGTAGATCACAAGTGAAGTAAGCAGTAGGAAGCAAACACATTTTGTATCAATGAAGGAAATGAGGGTTTTAGAATTGATGGTTGACAAAATATACAAGTTGAAATTATGCCTTGACACACCTTACAATGTGGCATTTTGTTGGAACATACATGAATTGGCAACAAAAGTAGAAAAGATATAAAATTGCTGCATTCTAATATTCTTTTTATAGATAAGTACATTCTAACAATTGAATAAAAATGGAAAATGAAAGAAAAAGGAAACTCGTGCTTCAAAGTAAATATCAAGAGTTTGGTACTGCAGGAAAATCAGAGAGAGAAAGAGCAACTAAACAGAAGCACCCAAGACTTCAGAGAGAGAGAGAGCGCAACTAAACAGAAGCACCCAAGTTCCCGAAGAGAGAAACAGAACCATTCAAGCCTCCGTAGAGAGAGACAGAGAGCAACAGAACAGAAACACCCGTCCCAAGAGAGAGAAAGGGAGAGAGAGATAGAATAAATAAGAGCACCTCAGAGTCTAGAACCAAAATGTTCAGGAAAGCCATAACATTGCAAAACAAACAAAACAACCCAAAGAAACCGAACAAGAGAAAGAGGCATAAATTGTAGACAGAGAGAAAGCTCACTGTTGAAGTGCTGAAACAGCATCCTCCACCTCCGCCCTGGAAGGAACAGGCCCAAGCACCCACCCACCATCACAAGAACAAGAACCCAACACCACCATGACATCACTCTTCCTTTCTCTCTCTTCTACATTTTCTCTCTCATCTTCCTCCCTTTCTCTCTCCTCGACAACCCACTCCCACTCTTCCCATCCCCTCATCCGGGCAGCCGGGCACCTGCCCGTGCGAACTACGGGAGGTCTCCAAGAAGGGAAACTTAACATCGTGGACCTCGGGCAGCTGCCCGAGAAGCCCCCAAGGCCTGCCCCGCCGGCTGCCCGTAACATGCCACCTCTGCTCCCTGCTGCCATTGATTTCCCCCAAATTGAGCTCCATCACGGTTTTGTAGGGAGGCTTTTCTCTGAAATGCGCTTGTGTTCGCGCGGGTTCAAATTGTGTACTTGCTCCCTCAGTAGTGCCCGTACCCTAGAAGTTCTGGGACCCAGAAGTTTCGAGATGTGAGGTCCTGGCCCAGCCCTCGGGCAATAATAGCCGAGGCCCTACTTTTTTAAGGTCAAGCCGACCAAGCTGCCTAGCCCATTGTCAGCCTCAGTGGGCAAACTAAAATTGAATTAGTGAGGTCATTTTAGTAAGGACGTTGTTAGCATGCGGGTTAAGTCTGCACATGTAGAAATACGGGCCTCTTAATAAATCTATTTTTTAGATGGATTGTTTTACTTAATTTTTAATAATACATAATCTCTAATATTGAAATCATGAATATAAAAATAAATAAATTTTAAAATCTAAAAATAATAATTATATTAATAAAATATTTGAATCATAAGTTTCAATTGTTTTTGGATGGACCATATATTTGCATCCATCTTAAAGATGGATGCTTTATACATCTAAACCACATATGTAGAAATACATCCTATTAAAACTAAAAAATCGATCTATGTATATGGCATTGTCTCATGTTAACCACATGAGATTTAACATATACTTTAATATGATTTTTTTTCAATTATTGAAAAAATAAATTTTTGGGAGAAAAATAGCCTGATAGGCCACATTTCCAACAACTCCCGCTTGGCCTGAATGCCTTTTAACATCTTGTAGGCTCTTTAATATCTTTTAGGCCCTTTAACATCTTGTAGATGGCATTACCTCATGCTTTTTATATGGGATTTTTTTCATATACCCAACCAGTGTAGTCACACGCCACTTTTAGATTTCCTAACCTCGACAGCTTTATATTTGGCATTGCCTCATGCTACTTGCATGTGATTTCACATGTACACTGCCAATGTGGTCAAACACCACACTTGGATTTTTTGACCTCAATGGCTTTGTATATGGCATTGCCTCATGCTACCTGTATTGGATTTATCATATACCTTACCAATTATTCACCAACACGTTGAATTTTTTTTACGTCTATCTTGTAGCTAAGAGAAAAAAACTTATTGTTTCTGCCTATTTCTTAAATTTGTCATCGACCAATGGTTTTTAAGTTCAAAGCTCAGATTCGGATCATTGGTCAAAATAATAAAAACAATAATAATCTAACAAATTTGTTAGTATTATTATATACATAAAATAAATATTTAAGTGGTCTCAACCTTAACAATAATAAAAGAAGGAAATATAATATCATTTCTGGTTTGTAGGTTCAATAAGTTTCAAATCGATAATGTTATCAAACTATTCAATAATGGCTCCCATTATTCTCAATATTTGGTTGTCATCATAATAACAAAAAATAGTTCAATATAGTCTAGCATGCTAGATCAGTAATTGCTCTCACTTTCTTAATGTGTGTTTATAATCATAGAGCTAACAAATTCAATTCTAATTTGGTAAATGATGATTTACTCCTCCTGTCAAATGAACAGATATCACCAATATGATAATTCAATCTAACATGATACATCGTTAAATATTTTTAATGTTATCTGGACATACACAAAACTTGATAAAATGTCAATGATAATTACATTTCATTGACAAATAATAGCTCAGCATCACATCCTTATGAGTACAAATTTAGTTTTCTAGATAAACGAAAGAATACTAAGCAAAAAAAAATACCGAAAAGTAAGTCACAACTTGGTTAAAAATAATAAACAACATTATCAATCTAAACAAAATATTATTAATGCTTGTAGAAAGAAAGGGGAAAAAAAAATCTTAGCACAAATATACATATATTGTTGAACTTTAAATATTCATAATCATTGATCGCCATGAAAACTTTCAAATCAAGTATCTCTTTAAATAAAATTGATAATTAGTATTTGTCTTATCATAATATGTATAATTGCTAGAAGGCCATGTTGGAAATAAATAGGAATGTATTCCAACATTTGTCTATAATTTATTTATTTTTAAATAATGAAGAGTGAGAGATAGAGACTTGCGTATCCTTGGGTAGACAGAAAGAGCAACTTAAATTCCAAAATATGACTGCATATTGATTTGCATTCATTTCATGCTATTAAGATAAAATAAAATGTTAATAAATTTATAATTTAAGGCAATAAATAACTTATCACAAAAGCTTTATAATTGAAACCTGTTAAATTCCAATTTAAAGCAATAAAGAACTTACCACAAATGCTTTATAATTGAAACCTACCACAATAAAAAAAAATTCATATTCAAACTTACCAATTTTTTTTTGTAATATGTGACTAAAGAAATCAAAGGCGCCTTACACTCAAAGGCCAAAAAAATCATTTGTTCTGGAATAGGTTTATCTCCCTTACCAAATAGCAACAAACATGTCATAAAAGGAAAACAAGAGAATGCAAGCATATCAGTGGAAAATACCAACTCTTTTCTTTAAAGAATGAAAACCCATTCCACCTAAAATTCACCCCGATACAGTAAAATGGATCCTTGCAAATCATCTTGCATTTTGGTCAAATATCTTCACAGCACTGGGCTTTGGAGGCTTGTAACTTTCCAAAAATATATTCCCAATCAGTAAATTCATTTTTGGAATAGCTCATTGTACAAAGAGAATTGGCTGACAATTTTGTTTCTACCAACCAATTTATGTTTCATTACAAGGATCATGGGAATGGCCAAAAAAAACTAAGGGATAATGCTAGAGACAAGCTCGAGCAAATATACACGACGAAGCAGTTAGAAAAACTAAACACGACAAATCCTCTATGAAATGTGTCTCAGTTAGAGATGGTTCACTATAGAAAGATGCATGGGTTGATGCAGATGTTTTGGGCATAGAAAAATAAAAAGTCTACCAGAAACGCGTTGTTTCATTTCGTATCAAAACAGAGCATGTAGCATTGCAAAGAAAGCTTGAGATGCTACAAAATGAACAAAAAATGAACTCGATGACAATAAAAATTAGCACCGCTAGAAAACTCAAGAGATCTTTCAAACCATCTGGCAGGCCACAAGAGTAGAGCCACTATGATAACCCAAGCTCTTCACATCTCACAACCTCGCTCTGATACTATTATTACTCACAATAAATAAAAATAAAATAAATATATAAATAATTTTGATAAACAACTTACTCGGATTTGTCTTTAAATTACATGAGGGACTTAAAGTTCCATACCAAAATCTATAGACCAAGTCATTCGGTGACAGGCTACCTTGAGAGTTCTCTTGGTGAATCTCCTTCACTTTTCATCTCTATTTTTTATTATTTTATCTCTATCTTTTCGATAAGGGTTAACCTCGTTTTATAGATAACACATTTATTTTGTAACTCTCACATTCATGATTTATAAGAGTTGGGATCCAAGTGTAACTCCTGTATTAATCTCCTTAAGTGCAACTAATTAGAATTAACAAGTTGTCACCAAATTGTTAACCCTATGTAATGAGCTAAACATGTTACTAGTTCACTGATGACTCATATAACAGGATATCATCTAAGCATCGTCGCAATTTATAAAGAATCCAAACACACCACTGGTTTTCCCTCCAGTAATACATCATATTAAAACTAAAAAGTAGATCCATGTATATGGCATTGCTTCATGTTAGCCACATGGGATTTCACATATACTTCAATATGGCTTTTGTACCATTATTGAAAAAAATAAATTTTCAGGAGAAAAAAGCCCTGATAGGCCACATTTCCAACAAGTTTTTCCCATGGGGCTTCTATCTCCTCCGGTTTCAGTTATAACTCTCTGAACGATAATACACTAAGCCCATTGCATGCTAATAAGTTTGTGCTATAGTGGGAATTGTTCCACATCGAAAAATTAAAAAGGATTTTATATTTATAAAAGATACGAGGACCAATGTAGAACTTAGTGACGTATGAATGGGACGTGGGGCTTCATGATTGTTGTTGTGGTGACATTAGCGTAGTTAAATTCTCTTATTTTTGAAAAAAACGAGGTACGATGTAGTTATACAAAAAATCAACCCATTCTCATGTCGACTCACACGAATTCAAAGGATTTACGGATTTACTGGAATCGACATGACCGGATTCCCATATCAACTACATGAATTCAAGGAAAAGTTGTACGAAAAATCAGACGTTAACGTGGAAATGATAGCTATTATATTTTGACAACGGAGCAACCTATTGCCATGCGACACTTAGTATAAAAAAAAGAAGACAGGCATGTTGCCATATTTGGAGGTACTAACGGGGATGAACCTATTATCACGTGACACTAAAGAAAAAGAAAAGAAAAGAAGAAAGACAGGCATGTTGCCATATTTAGAGGTACTAAGGAGGATGGTAAAAAACAGGACTAAGTAACCATTTTGTTTCTCTTATATTTTTTTCCACTAAATAGCTCTTATAATATGGTCTCATGGAAGCAATTTCAGGTCTTATTTTATACTATATATTATTTATATAAAATGGTACATGGAGAAGGAATATAACCGCCATTATTTTCAAAATAACAATAATAACGTCCATAATATTTGAAAAAATGTCATTGTTTCTTAAAATCTAAAAACAAAAAATCAGCTTTTTTTCCTTATTACTTTTCATCTTTTTTGGCTTTTACCCTTTTCTTCCCATTTTAACAATGCAATGGTGTTTTTCACTACAAAAGCTATATATATTGTGACTCGGCGAATTGTAAATCACGGCAAAATTGAAAGGAGTAGGATAAGAACTTCCCCAATAAGTGGGATGATGCTCCACTTCACTTCCCAGCCGACATTGTAGAAATCAAAGGCAACTTTTGCCGAGGCAACTATCAATAACAACTCAATTCTCTTTATCTAAAAACTTCATCCAGAGCTGAGGCTCTAAACAATCATATTGGAGCCTACCACAAAAATATCACTATAAGAGGTTATTTTGATGCCCAAATATCCTCAAATTGATCTGTTCGGCTTATACGGCATTTGAAG